GCATACTCATATCTGGAAGCTTCCCAGTTGAGCTGTAGTCATTTCCTATTAGGCACCCTGCAACACTGCTGCGACAATAAGGTTGCACATAAATGAGGACGCCGTTGTTACTACACTGACCCCTTTATTTGATGTTTGTGATGGAAGGGACATGCTGTTGTGTGTTCCCAACAGTGCGTGCTGCCTTTGAAGATAAAAAAATATTTCAAATTTTGGCAAAGAATGCAATCAATACAATCAAATGGATTTTCAATTGTTGCCTAGCAACAACAAAAGCCAAGACCAGCACTTTCTCTTTCTGGAACTGTTATCTTAAAAACAGGGCCCCTGGTGGACAGCAAGTCATTATGTGGTAACTCAGGAAACTTTTAGCTGTCAAAGGATTAAATAAACCTCTCTCATGTCAAGCCAGGGAATTGCAATTTGGGATTTAAGCTAGCAACAGTTTTGTTATAAACTGTTTTATTAACATCATCTTTTGAGGACAGTGTCTACTTGGCCAATATTTCAAAGCTTTTTGGTCATTTAAAAATGATCTCAGATGCAACATCTTTCCACTACAGCCAACAAAGCTTTATCAGCAGGACACTGCAACATTATGCATGTATTATCCTCCATGTCAGAGAACAATGAGATCAGAGCTCTGTATGAGTATGTAATCAGATCAGTGACACGCCTTAGCCCTCAGCTGCCGAGCAAGCTGCTGATGGAGCTGATTATATTATCACTACAGTATTTTATGAGTTTCAGTGTCTTCTGTCTTTGTCAAATTTTAACTTGCCATCCCAAATTGTTTCCTCCGCTTGCTGTCGTTAACACAGATGGAGAGAGTCAAGTAGCTGTACTTCCTCAACAACAAACACAACTTGGTATGTGTCGGGTACAGCTGTTGTAGTGTAGACTGCATTTAGAAGATGAACCTTGGCTCTGAGACAAAAAAGTGAAGCTGATGCTGCTCATCTGGTATCAAAAAGACATCTGGGAAAATGGCCTTTGGTTCCTTTGCTGTACACACTTCAGTAAATGCTTTCCTGATGGGTTTACGTCCTTAATCACTCATTTCATACAATATAAAGTTAATTTTGCAAACTATGGTCCCCAATAGAGTGGGAAAATGGCGATAGAAAACCTAAACATAACCTGCTGACTGTAGCATTTGACCATGATTGTCATGTCATACTAGCAGCCACATTTTGAAAATGTCTCTATCTAATCGAACCTCTCATCTTTCTTGTACACTTCAGATAGCAATTTGACACACATAAATGCCAAAGTAGGGCACACCTAGTAATTGTCTTTTGGTCACCTTCTTCTGCTATAACACGAGTGGGCAATCCATTTTCCTGAGCGGTCAGAAGAGAAACTGGGACTGTTGTGGAGGGCCACATCAATAAACCTAACTCAGTTCTGCTTAATACTAGTTTTATCTCTATATAAACCTTTTAATGGGGCCCTCAACAACAGTCCCACTTTATCACGTGGCCCCTTGGAAACCACCTATACAATGCAACTCAGCCCACGTGCATCCAGTAGAAACCAAATCTGCAATGGAAACAAAATGAAAAGTTAAAGGTTTGAGCCCCACAAATCTATTACCGGTAATCTAGCACTTCAGAAAAACACTTTCCTGATGGTTTCCTGATAGATTTATGATCTCAATCATTGGTCTTTGGTTTTAAATCTAATTGACTAAAATATAAAGTTCATTTTGCAAATTATGGTCCCCATTAAAAACAGGGAAAACTGGTGAAAACTTCTACATTTAAGACAGCAACTTGATGCACAGAAATACCAAGCTATAGTATATCTAATAACTGTTTGTCTGTAGTCACTTATTAGTGGGACCCTCCGTAACAGTGCCATTTAATCATGTGCTCTCTTTGGAAACCAGTTTTACTATGGGAAAATGAATTGCACACCCAAGGGGTGACAAGCATCCAGAGATCCACACGCACATTTTTGGCTGTTTTGTTTAGCATTTGGGAACTCAGTAAAAGCTGCATGCAACGACAAATGTCAGTTTGAAAGCATGTATACACACAACACAGAACAGAAAAGCAGCTTTCAATAAAAAATAACAGTCCATACCCTCACTAGAGCCTCCTAAAAGCCCCTATGTTCACTACAACCTGTGAATAAATTTAGACGATAAAAGAAAAGAAGAGAACCATTTAAAAACTCATCTGTATAACAATATTTTAGCACTTTGTCGTGCAATCATGCTTACATTTGTGTGTATAAATAATCCACCAATGCCGCAACAGCCAAATTCCTGACCAATTCCACCTTTCAAACTGAGTGTTCCTCAGCTGTCGCTGTGCTCCTAGTTCCTCAAATGAATGTCACATAGTCTTTTTGCTCATTGCGAGCACTGGTGTGACCCAGTGTTAATTAAAATAAATTGGACTGAGCGATCAGAATTTCTGATCTAATTTAGCCAGGGAGAGCTCTTGACCCAGGAGATGCAGTGAGGCTGCGATGCTGCTTTACAGCCACCGAGATGGCTCAGTTAACTGCCAAGAGGGAAAGCCAATAAAGGAGAGGAAATGAAACTGAGCTTGATTTCTACATAGCTGTGGCGTTGTGACAGTTCAAAGATGACAAAGGAAGATTTTGTTTAATTTACTTTCCGGGTTTTCAAAAAAACTGAAATTTTCAGTGCACAAAAAATGGAAAGCAAAGAAAAAGCAGACCTGAAAGAAACATGATGAGGATCATTTATACACATTTGAGTAATTTCCCCATACATTGTAGTCATGGGCCTGCTTTGATCCCATCAGAAAGCTCCTGCTGTCTGAGAGTGGCAACATTTTCTTATGATCCATAACGCAATTTAAAAAAAAAATTGTAATCACGTTGTTAATGCATAATTTGAGAGGTTGACAGTTTTCATATTCGAGACTTCAACCTCAGCTAGCAGTCTTGCCTGGATGAAATGAAATTAAGCCCACTCACAGTCAAAAACACAATTTGCTATAGACAACAGGTAAGGTACATATTGCATAGAGAATATATTTATGTGTATCTCCAGCTGTCACTGCTATTGAGTGTTCAAAATGTATATAAAAGGTCATATTAAGGAACTTGTACAGTACTTGGCATTAATCTATATTAATCCCAAACCCTCTGTGACAAGTAAAAAACTGAGCAATATTGAGCTGAGTCTCTCATCCTGAATGCCAACTCCACCATCTTGGACTGCAGCTGGTGAAGGCTGACCTTGCTCTACTCCCCAGCCTTGCAGGCTCTGGTTAGAGCGGTCCTTCTTTTCGCAGGGGATCTCCAAAGCAGAAGGACTACCATCAGACTGCTGCCGTCCAAGATGATGGAATTGGAATCCCTTCGGCAGTGGTACGAGATCCACTGTGGGAGGAAGATAAATGATATCAAGGTCCACCATAATAGCAACTTGCGCTAGCTGGTCACAGTGATCTTCAAAATAAAAGTTAAAGAATTGTGCACTAATACATCAATGATGTGTGGAAACAGTGAAATGTTACATTGTATTAGAATAAACATAAGTAAAAGACAACAAAAATTATAATTTCCAGCTGATTTTTTTTTCCAGAAATCCTGAATGGCCCCATGCCAGATAAATTGCTTTTGCATGTCCTCTTAGGGAATAAAATACTTGATAAAACAAGGCCTTACATATTCAAAGCCAATGTAATGTGTCACTGAATGAAAAACAAAATCAGACAGTACAGGAGTTGGGAAATCTGATGTGACCTGGTCTTTCAGAAACAAGTGCATGTATTGTGTTTGTTTCTCCTGGTGGTAAAAGATAAAGAAGAAAAATGTCTGTCGGGCTATATTCGCCCATCTGCTTTCTATTCAAATGTGTTATTTGATGTCACAGGGATGCAGTCTGTGACAGTAAGCTGTGTCACGTACCACAGTACTGTGCCACGTGTGCATAGATCTGCAACATGGTTTAAAGTGTGCATAATTACAGAGCAGCAATCTGATTGTTTAAAGATGCATTTCGTCTGTGCTAAGTGGTTGCTAAGCTAACTGATGTGCAGGAAACTGTGAGGGGTAAGCTGTTCATGTTGCAGGAGGATGGGGTCATGGCAAGGAAACCCTTTTAAGAGTTATTGCTAAAACATCACGGAAAGACTGTGGAGAAAGAGCCAGCTTAGTGGCCGCAGAGGATTTAGCTAGAGTCGAACATTTGCTGTTTTCGCTTCTCTAATGAGCTTGGGGCAAAATTGTAAAATCTTCTCACAACTAATTTTAGACTCAAGAAGCAATGAGGGAGAAATAAAGGGGTCCTTTCTTCAGGTGGTGTCCCAGGAGGTTCATAGTTCATAGCTCAGTGCCTTCAAACAAACAAACCAAAAAAACGATTTCTAATGGGAAAAAAATAAAAGCATATAAAGTTTTTCGTCCTACATCAAGAGACAAGCAAATGACCTCCTTTTGTGTTTTTTTAGTGAAAGCTCAAGATTGAGAGAGAAAGCAATTTAACTTCAAGTGGATGATTGTTTTGCTATTAAAAAAAAAAAAGAAACACAGGGGAGGCAAATTGCAGTTTTCTGTGCTTAAACCTTCAGAGTCGTGTTGCTAACTGGATGTTAATCTTACATCTGAGACTTTCAACATAGAGCTTAGGGCCTGTACTTATTATACTTCTGGCTGTTTTGTAAACTTTGTTTCGAATTTCCCTTTTGTGTGTGTGTGTGTGTGTGCGTGCGTGCGTGCGTGCGTGCGTGCGTGTGTGTTTTCACTCTGATGTTAATAATGTCAGCGAAAGTGGATATTCCTAATATGGTCATCTCAGGCAGGGGGAGGCCCCGTCTACCTGACATTGAAGCCTTTTGTTTAAAAGCAGCAGCCAATCAGAGGAATGCTGGCTTAAAGTTGAGTTTAGAGTTGTGGTAAATGGTAAATGGCCTGTATTTGTATAGCGCTTTTACTAGTCCCTAAGGACCCCAAAGCGCTTTACACAACTAGTCATCCACCCATTCACACACACATTCACACACTGGTGATGGCAAGCTACATTGTAGCCACAGCCACCCTGGGGCGCACTGACAGAGGCGAGTTGATGGTTAATAATAGGTCAACTTTAGTGTTTTTATGCGTAAAATGTACGACTAAAGATTTAAGTGACTAATAAAATAGCAAAAACAACCCCCAAGCAGATTTCATATGGATGCATGTCATATACAAAGAACAGTGTATTTAGTTCCATGCATGCATAAGCTATACATGAACAATACTACCATGAATTTCTATCCACACACGGTAGGTAAAACTACCATGATTTATTTGGGTTGGAGGTGAGTCTGTTGACTTATATGTAGTGTCTGAGACCATTTTGTCTCACAGATTGTCTGGAGGAATGGCTGCAGTGATTCAGAAAAAAAAATTCACAGCACTGACTTTTTAGGGACCATGTGCTGTGGTTGATGAGCGATAGCGCTTTACTATTTTACTCAAGGCTTACTTTTTGTTCTTTTTATTCTCCAGTCTATCTCACTGCTCTCCCAACACCACGCACAAATGCAAAATGCATCAAAAACCATTTGGTGTAAGGTGGGTAAGTAAACTCCGTCACAATTAGGCAGCGTATGACATCAACGGTAAATAATAACATACGCTGCAAAACACTGACTTATACAAATGCGAAGCGGAGTATAGTGGCCATAAAAATTGATTGCACAAAAGAACAACAGTGTAATCAGACCGTGAGAGGAAAGCTATTATATCTATGTAGCAAATATAATTCCTCAAGAGGAAAATTGAATTCTTTGAACACAGAAGACAGAAGAAAATTAGTTTTCACCACAGTGGCCATGTCGTACAGTAGAAATAAACATTTCCCAGCAAAGCTATAGGGACAATTTGTTCCAACACAATACGTTAGAGGTTTTTGAGTACAATGAGGAACAAAACATACAAACACAACTTTTTAATTATGTTTCACCCTAAAAAATGTAGAACAGATCCTAAGACCACTGAAAAATGATGCCTGCAGATATACATAAAAGAAAGTGTGCATAAATAGACTGGAGGAGCACCCAACCTACCTCTCTTGATCAAAATGTTACCAAAACACAAAATAATGAGCACATGAAAATAATGTTAACAGTCATCTGGAGCCTACAGCCAAATTAAATCCTCAGCCAGCACAACAGACGCTCTTCCTTAATGTTATGGACGTGCAGTGTGGACAATGTTTGATTTTGTTGCAGCAGGTTATCACTATAATTAGCTCTAAGAGATGAATCATTTTTTCCCCACACGCACTAACAGGTAACAAAAACACGCACTGAGTGAGAAAGAACTCGCCTGCAAATGATATTAAATATAAAACAAGCAAAAATGTCCATCTCAACGAGCCGTTTAATCTTGTATTCAGATCTGAGGCTGTGCCAGCAGGATGATGTAACTATTTGTTGTATAAGTCCGTGTTTCCAAGGCAACTTTAATTTAGCAGATTTTCCCTGGAAGTGATCTGCCTTATTTGCAAGAACGCTTCTCAAAAAGAAGTGACACTGCATTGCAAACATGCTAATTAGCTCTCGTCCTTTTACGGTTCCACTGCAGTGAAAAAGAAGAAGGGAAGGAAGCAGATAAAACTGTGCGGCAGAAGTGCAGGTGACACATCAATCAAACCCTGCCATCAACGCTCTTTGACAAATTAAGATGGACTCGAAAAACGCAGCCGCGTCATCATCGTCACCATCACCGCGCTGATTTCGTTCCACAAATGGAGCATAAATGCAGCGACTCTTAAAATTTGCAATCTCAGGTAAGAAATTGCTGCCTGTCACCTGTCAAGGTCTTCTCTCAGCCAATTATTACACCACTGGGTGCAGGCCCATCCATCCATTAGATGTCAACTATGTCAACACAGTGCATTAACAATTCAGTGGACAGTTCTGCTTCCCCCTGCACGACTCTCTTATGTTTTAATATCATAAACAGCAGAGAGAAGTAGGAGGCGAGAGCTTGATAGACCGAGTCTTCGTGAGCATGCTGGGCCTGACTCACGAGAATGAGATGTTTCCAAAAATAAAGAAGGGAGGGAGAGAAAGAGGGAGAGGCAGAATGTGCTGAACAGGCTGGAACAGAAGAAAACGAGTGGATTAACTCCCTCCCCCACCCTCACTGCCACCTCCTCTCCTTCCCCCCCCCTCCTTCTTTCCGAAAGCCCTTGGATTCATCACAAAACATGCCGAATTAGTGGGAACAAATCGCCTGTATAAACACCCCTAAACACTTTCCCCAACTGCCACGATGCAAAAAATAAAATAAGATAAAGTAATAGTAATGCTGTCACTATTTTATTAAAACCAAAAGAAGAGTTAAAAAAAAAAAGACCTAAATGATCGAAATTAATTAATTTGCTCCGCTCCTCTGGGGGCAGATGTGCCCCACAGTGAGCAGATGTCAGCAGTTGGTTGCGTGTTGTAACTAGGCACCGTGATGTACACGTTGGCTGTTCATTGTGACAGATTGCTCGATGCAAATCTAGTGCGATGTGAATATGGTAGTCTCAGCCTCCTTGCTGCAACTCATAATACTCTGAAGCCCCTATAAGCCACATAGCAGATTTGGAATATTTTTGTCTGTTAGGAAAATGTTTGCCATGCCTGCTAGTTTTGTCAGTTTTTATCCTTAAGCTTGGTATATCTTGAGTACAATAAAAGCGGGGGGGGGCGCACTGGTGCAGAAATCAAATAACAAAAATACTCAATTTTTCTGTGACCCAAATGTTTCTTTTCCTCTCTGTGAACTGCTGTGGGTAGATCATCCACATGATTTCAGACTCTGAGTGCATGTGCATAGCGCCTGATGAATAAGATGATTATCTCACTTGCAGAGAGACACAGACAGTGAGAGAGAGATCACATGACTCGTGACTGGTCAGCCTCACCAGATCTGGAGTATTGAAGAATGCCCGCGCACATGAACACCCAAATCACACTCACTATTAAGCAGACAAAAATAACAAAAGATGGCAAAGATGATACTGATAATTTCTCATGCAGCGAACAGACTCCCCGTCAGGACTCAGACGCCACAGCAGGGTATCATGGGACCCTTTAATCTAGCATGAAAGACATGGGTAATCCTTGTTGGGGGATTACTCCCGACCAGTACTCTCTCTTTGCATATTCCAACTTTGGTGTACAAGTGCTTAAGCACTAACCCACCAATCACGATCTATCCATGGCTCCATCACTCATCCTAAGACTTAGCAGATAAGGGGACATGTTTACACTTGACTCCCACCGCAACCAAGAGGATTTAACAGTGAAGAAACAGAACCTATGTGTAAGCCTACATAATGACCTGAACACTCTAAACAGACTGCGACAGCAGTTTTCCACAGCAAAAACAATCAGTTCACAGCATCATAACATTATGCTAAGATGTTTACATTCCAATGCACAGCTCAGTCCCATTTTGTTTATTCTGTGCAATTTACAGAAAGTATGTGCAGTTATCAAAGTGTAAAATGATATTTTTGTTCTCAGTGCGGATTAGATAACCGCACTTACAGGAAAAACATAAACATAAAATATCTTGAATGTGTTTTGCATTAGCACAGGAGCATTTGAAGTAGAATAGCAAAACAGTAACAGTGTGGTGATTGTATAAGAAGCAGAAATCCTTACAGAAGCTCTGTGCTTGCTGTAAAAGTATGTCCGTGCATTTTTTGGATGAGAAGTAAAGTAGGAAGATTTATACCACTCTCACATCTGTCGGCTAAATATGCAATTTGAGCAAACCTAGCTTAGCATAAAAGGTAACTTGCTAGTGGTAGTATAGGACAGCGGTCCCCAACCTTTTTTGCGCCACGGACCGGTTTATGCCTGACAATATTTTCACGGGCCGGCGGATAAATACAACAAAATAAAACTAGTACTGGTACCGAAAAAAAATAAGATTTATTCATAACACACGTGAAAAGACCCAGGAAAACCAAGTTAACGATAAAAACGATAACAAATTAACGTTGAAAACCGATAAAAACCCTGAAAACCATACATTTCACACCTGAGCCTCAACTCTCGCGGCCCGGTACCAAACGACTCATGGACCGGTACCGGTCCGAGGCCCGGGGGTTGGGGACCGCTGGTATAGGACATTGCTAGCCATGACATAAACATAACCACTTATAAAACAGTCGCTTCAAACACAGACATTACTTTATCTTGCATGGATTGATCAAATAAAATGTAACATATTAATAAAGAGCTTCTGAATATGTATTTTAAGTACATTACTACTCCTCTAAAACTAGCTAAAGCTAGGTGATTTTTTTTTATGTACTAATCTTTTTCTTTTTTAAAAAAAAAAAAGATTAACTATTGCTTCAAACCAAGCATTCTCATAAAAGTACATACAAAAACACAAATCCCACATCATAAAACATGTACACAACAGCTATAGTGCATTAATGTCACTTAATTCTATCATCTGCTTCCATTAATCCTTAGGGACTAGTAAAGCGCTATACAAATACATCCCATTTACCATTTACCATTAATCTATCGAGTGAAAAGATAATATCAATTGCTAGCTATGACACTACATTGAGAGAAAGTAACAAAAAAAAAATCAAACTACAGTCCAGTAGTGCTTTTAAATACAGGTGTGATGCTAAGACGGAATGGAGTTCATCTGCTAAAAATTTGCCCCTAGCAAATTTCCAGAGAAATGATTCAGCCACTAAGTCTCACATTACTGGTGAAGAAAAAGAAATACTGTTTAAATATGCAGGACAGAACCTTTGAAGCTCCATCCCCAATTTAATCAGTTAATATTTAAAGCAGGAATATTCTTTATATAAGGCATTTGCATGATGGGCTGCAGAGAGGGTGGCTGCTGGAAATGAAGACATGAAGACTGAGATATAACAAGGTGAAATCTTAATCCTCCTTTTTTTAATCATTGGTATTCAGAGGCCTGCACTGCCTGTAATAGCTTGTCAGACATTAAATGCAGCAACATTTGCAACATTTACAGAACCTCACTATCATCCCCCAGGAATCGAATGCATCATTATGTTCGGTTGTAGTAAACATTCTCTCATTTTTCAACTAACATCTTAGTCTTCATTAGCTTCATAACATCAAACAATATCATACATAAAGGGGTTTATAATATTAACCTTGAGCTTGATGTATGTTAGTTCACATTCTGTAATTGCATTTGTCCAAATTAATATACGTATTACTTACATTGCCCCCCGAATTTTGCATAGTATTCTGTCATTACGTCTAACAGCTTTGGAAAATGAAATTCATTTGAGAAAGAATAGATTCTGAAAGGATGGAGAGCATAACCAGGTTAAATTCTGACAGCCAAAAGAAAAGAATAAAACAAAAAACAGACAACAATAGTTACATTTTAGCTAACACCTACAGATGGAGACACAGTTGTGATCCTCATGTCATCATTCATTTGACCATTACCAATCGGCCATGGCGCATTAGCCATGAAGCTGCAAGGTCAACAAAAACTACTGAAGCCCTCCACTATGAAGAATGTGAACCACATAGTATTCAGCAAAAAAACACATTCATTTGGCTTCACAGGCAGTTCAAACCTACTGATAGTGGATTGAACCGAGAGTGAGGGCAAATGCAAATGCCTGAAAATCTGTAGCCACAAACCTAGCACAGTGTCACAAGGTCATTTAACCACACACATTCACAAACAGGCACATGTACACTGAGCAACAGTGGCGGTTTTTGATACGGGCGACACGGGCAGTTCCCCAGGGCGGCATCGTGGTGGGGGGTGGCATCACGGGCATCGGCAAAAAAAAAAAAAAATTGCTCATACTCATGTTGCCCCGACATCAGCGCGTATTGGGAATGGTACAGGCACCGATCGGTTTTCTATCGCCCATTTCCTGGGAGTAAGGGCACCCTCCGTATGTGAGGTGCGCCTGCTGCTTGAGGTACAGGGAGGAGAGGGCGGGACGGCGGGGGATTCACTGGTGGCTGGAGCAGCATCTAATAACCAACTCGCAAAATAAAACAAAACAACAAACACGAAAACACCAGACATTATGATAGAGAGGGATCAATAACAATTTAAAATTTGTATTTTATATTTTGATGATTTAATGTCTCACACACAACCCGTGGAAAGGGGTTCATAATGTTGTAAATCCAAGCCCATTATGTATTCATGATTTGAATCCTGGGTTGTGTGAAATCCCAGAAATACACCTTAGACAAAGTGAATCTGTGAACTAAGGTGTAGGTCTATTAGGTTATATTGTGGCGATCCTCGAGTTGGGGGATTTGTGTTCATACTGGAGTCCAAAATTAAAACCAATGGAAAATGGACAAGAAAAGTTCAAAGCCATCAGGTGCTCAGTTTAGAAAAAAATAGAGAAGAAGAGGAGGAGAAACGAGCAAAAGATACAGGTAAGCAGATGTGTCATTGGATTATGGGAGGTCATCCTGAAACAATCAGAATCAGAATACTTTATTAATCCCTAAGGAAATAATGTGGATTACAGTTGCTCCAAGAAGAAATGGTAAATTGTTCATTTGTCCTGTTCTCATTGTATGACGAATTATGATGGCTGTTTGGTAGCCGTTTGCATACAATGCATACTATCCCTCTCTTCATGTGTGTGCGTGTGTTTCTCTGGTGAATTTCGACAACACTTTTATGTTAATGTACATTCTTTAATATGTTTTATGTGTGTGTGTGTGTGTGTGTGTGTGTGTGTGTGTGTGTGTGTGTGTGTGTGTGGGGCGCCAGAGGGAGTGTTCGCCCAGGGTGCCAAACAGGCTAGGACCGCCACTGCTGAGCAAAATAATAATAATTTGACCAAACATCCCACGCAATACTCTGTAAATGGCATTTCACAAAACAAAATGAATTCCCTTGAGAAATTATGCAAAGCGTATTGAACCACTGTATCGCCGGCTCCGTTCTCAAGCGGTCACACAATCAAACAAATAAGAAGAAGAAGGGTGATGCCAAGACAGAAAGCAATTCTTCCTTTTTTCCTGAGTAGCCTGTCAGATGATTGAGTCATCCACTCCATTCCATTTGAGGCAGCTTTCCATATTTGAGTGCTTCTCGGCATGGACACTTGCTGCACTTTAATTAAGGTTTGCTATGCATTATACAAACAGAAAATGCTTAAGAGTGCAGAAAGGCTCACATTAGTTGAGCTTTTTTCCCCCTCATTCAAAAAAAGTCTTTGCCAGTCAACAGATGGTATTTATTAAAATCATAGACAGCAAAAGAGGTCTATTGTGAGATTTCTTTTTTTTTCTTTTAGTGCCCATTGGCAGTCCATTAAACAACTGAAACTGTGTGCGAAAATCCACTGAGATACAAGGAGAGAGGCATGGAATTAGGAATGTTTGTATTATTCATTGGCAGCCAAAATCCAATGCAGACGTCTTCTGATCATTAAATGAAAAGTATCTCCAGCAAAGTACTGTAATTGCCTCACAAAAATTATCTGCCTCCCCATCCCCCTCTTTCATGATCTAAACACAAGTGCACAGAACCAATTCCAGTCACATGGTAATGGCTTTGATTATGAACAATATGTTTCTTGATGTTTCTCGGGAGAGATGGTAGCTCAGAGGGAAAAGAGTTCAATGTGTGAGCTTGTCTGCCAGAATGAACCGCTTTCAAGCCAGCCACCTCTGCCTGTCATCTTCCCTCAGACACAGAGAGAAGCTGTCTGTCATCTTCCCTCAGACATAGGGAGAAGCAGAATTACTGGGGCACTCAAATGCACATGCCAGAAATTGGGCCAGTGCTCAGTAGTGACACTATTTGTGATTTGCATATGAATATGCTGAATGAAAAAAAAAAAATGGAAAAAAAACTAGACCAGTATTCCCTTTAATTTCACAATATCTGACTTGGCCCCTCTGGGGCCTAAGTGAAATGATCAATGTCCAAAATTAAACAGTAATTGCCAGCCCCATAATGAAAATGGACCCCTAATAGATATTTTTCATCAGCGGAACCTGCAGTCCAGGATGCAATTACCTGGAGTGTTTACAAGCCATTTCAGCACCATTTTTTGCATTTCCAGGCATCAAGGCTAAGGTCATTATTTAACGGAATGAGTTTTAGGTGGAAAAATATCCACATTGATGTCTGAATCACACAAAATTGGTAGTAACAAATATTGTATTATTCAGTTCATCAGTGTAGATGGAGACATTGCCAGCACATTGAAATTATAACCTTTGCAAGAGAAATACCACTCAATTTGAGAATAAATATATCTTTGCCTTGTTGTCTTTATTAGATTTGGTTTGAAACTGTAATGTTAATTACATTTTTTTTTAATAGTTTCCATTTGATACCCAGTCTATCACAATCAATATACTGATTGATCTTTTTGTTTGTTACTGAATGATTATGAATACTTATTTAGAAGTGGCAAATTTCTTGCACATGCATATAAATTCAAAAGAAAATGTTAATTTGCTCCATGTTCAGTGCTGCTGCAAATCAATGTGACCTTAAAACTGAGAGAAAGGGTCAAACTGCTATGTCATTTGTGACTGGAAGGCTCAGTATAAGGGCATTCATTATCCCAGAGTGGTTTGCCATTACTCCATATGGGAGTTGCATATATTACATATGAAATTCAGTGGTATTCCTCTTTAACACAGAGTGAGGAAAAAACTGCAAGGGTATGCGCCCAGAGTTACATCCATGGAGATTATCCCCATTAAATGTCAAAGACACTTCATATTCAGTGACAAGTTTTAGCATACAGCATATTCTCTTTTGGCAAGCTGTTCCAAGGACTCAAATGACAGAAAAGATTGGGTTTGAAGAGGCAAACTTTAAATATTTTTTCATGTGTTTTGCTTATAAAAAGCATGACTATATACACATATAAAAACCTTTGTAGAAATAACCACAAATAATGTCTTAAATACAAATATGCACATGAGCAGTGGCTTTAAAATGCTAACCAGTCAGACGCCTGATGGTATAAGATGAGAAATTACATATTAGAGAAAGAAATGTACATTTTCTTTATTTTTATTTATTTTTTTTTTTTTTTTTACTTCAGAATCTCTAAATCTGACCAGTCAACATTTCGCAACCCAATGACAGGGATAAATGCAAATTTTGCAAAATGGAAACTTTTTATTTTCAAAAAGCAACAGATTACACAGTTAACTTTCAGCAAATGCAATCCTAACTGAAACTGTACTCACATTCGGGACTTCAAAATGAAAAGACTCACATACTTACACACAATCTATCTATAATATACAAAAAGAATACATAATAAATATTAAAATGGCCACAAGAGAAAAAAGTAAGTCACTGAAAACAATCAGTAGAGAGCAAATGTAGGGAAAGTAGAAACAAGACGGTGTGCCTTAAATGTCTCTCTTTTTTTTTTTTTCTTTTACATTTTTTACAAATTGTGCAAGATTTCATACTAAGGCTCTGGTCTTGAAGTGACTGTTGTCTGATCCACACACACACACACAGAAACACACACAGAATCACACACTCTCCCTGTGCTCTGAGCACTCTGTGGGGTGTAGCAAACCATTGCAGAATAAAAATGGGCTGCTCAGTGTATGGCCTGTGATGCACATGGGAGTGGACCAGCTTTTAAAAATGAACATGCACTTCACGCTAATGTGAAAAATAGGAAGAAGAAAAGAAAAAACTCCCCTTGCACCTAAAGGGGGAAAAAAAGAAAAAAAGAAGAAGAAGAAGAAAACTTTTCAGGAGTGATTGAAAAATAAACCCCAGAAACATGACAATATCATAACCATTAAGGCAAGAACACCCGGAGTGGCATCAGCAATACTGTAACAATGTGATAGTGTTTAGGTACATGGATATGATGAAACATTTAACTACTTCTTCAATGTCTTTTTTAAGCACAAGGTTGTTTTCAAAAGCAACTTTTTTTTTAAAATTCCAAACATCACTTCATCTTTTTTTTCCTCTGTTTTTTTTGTTTTTGTTTTTGTTTTTTTGTTTTTTTGTAAAATGTGTTAGGAAAATAACAATGCCAGACACTAGGGACATATGGATAAAACTACAAGAAATCCTTTCTAGATTTTAAGTTGCAACTTCAAAACCACACATTGTAAATCCCCCATCATTAAGCCCCCTGCCCGGTAAATGAAAGAGATATCACTTACATTAAAACCATTTTATCCTCTTGTGATGGTGTAATCCAACAGTTTTTGCTCTACTTACAGCGGTTGTGTAGTCTGTTGCAAATTAAAGCATTCATTGTTTAGTTTGGAGGGAGAGGGGGGAGAAGGAAAAAACAACAAAAAAGTTGTCCTTGCAATGCAACTGTCGACCCCCCCCCCCCCAAAAAAAGCATCTTTACATCTTCTTTTTAGTGCAACTCTTAAAATGTAAAACATTTCCAGTGATTCCTTGAGAGGTATCATTTCTTTGTTTTGTGTTATTATTTTTTTTCTTTTTCTTTTCATACTTACGTATTTCACACCTCACAGAATAACGTGTCTTCAAAATATCCCAAGCAAGACGTCTTGTTTTCACTGTTTTGTCAAATCGCTCTCTCTTTTTTTTTCTTTCAACTTTTTGCATCTCTGCATTGGCATGGCCTTCCACAATGTCTGTTTACTAGAACATAAACACAGGAGGTGATCCATTCCCCCTGCGTTATTCCCATTCCCTTCAGCCTCCGTGTGTGATACGATTTAGATTCAATCGCCCCAGCACAGCCACGTGATTGGCAGTCCACCTTCAACCTCTGTAAAGAAGGGCCAGGAGAAGGAGGAACAGGAGGAAACTGGAGGATGAAGAGAAGGGAGATAGAAAGAGAGAGTACGCTGTACAATGGGAGCAAACCCAGATCAAGATCAATCAGGGCAATAGAGACATAGATGAGAAAAAACCCCACAGTAAAACCCTCATATAACACAGTAGGGTTCCCTTGGTAACCTGGATTTTCTGCAGTAGAGGAGTGTGGTGCTGAAGCAACGCCGAAGCTCTCTGTTAGAGAAGATGCAGATGAAAGGATTGACCCCAGCCTGGGCAAAGCTCATCCACACGGCTGCTGTCAGGTAGCCTCCAGGGACAACGGGGCCCCTTGCAAACACCCGCCAGTAGCAGGCAACCAGGTAGGGCCCCCACAGTGCCAGGAAGAAAAACGTCATGATGTAGAACATCCTACTAATCCTCTTCTCGGTTTTGAATTCATCCAATACCAGTAGACGCCTGCGGCCTGCTGCATTGCTGTTCTGCCGGATGCCCAGCAAAGTAGGTGGGGTGGGGCCTCTTCCAAATCCAGCCAGCCAATTAGCTGCCGCTTGCCCGCTGGCACCTGGGCCGTGGAAGGTCCAGTTCTGGCT